GTATGAGTGTGTGGACCGAGCGCCACAAATGAGGCTGTTGCTCACTTGATATCGAACATAAGAGATAAGCAACTAGTTAAACACAAATAATGAAGCACATGATGTACTTGCAAACAGACCCACTATACATACACGCATAAAAATAGATATACAAACATAAACAGAAATGAGATAACACTTATTGCAATGACACGTGTTAGGAAACCTTTTTATCGTAAGATAATACTCTGCCAAATAACCTACATACTACTTTTGAAGATTATCAAAGAGCAATCTTGACAGTTTTGAGATTTTTAAACCTTTTTTTGTTGAACCTTGAAAGGTGTACTATAGGCCTACATCAAATTTGATATTCAACATTCTACTTTTCATATAAATTATCAAAATATTATGATTCATGATCCCCAAAATGGGTTTATTACCTTGCTATTTATCGCAGTGAATGAATACGAGTTTGTGAATGAATTGGATATAATCAATCCATCTACGCTACTTTTAAAAAGAAAGTTTATTAAATACACTTCTTTTCTCTGCAAATAACTCCTCAATTAAGATAGTCTCAGCTCAGCGGTTCCTCAGCGGGCATGGGCATACACGTCACCCTCCATCTGCAAGTCATCACAAACGGTAACTGCAGCGCATTCCACAGTAACGATCAACCGTTAAACAAGGTGATGGAGAGGCCAAACAACCGGCAACCAAGGCAGTGTTGACGAACTGTTGAGGCGAGGAACTGTCTGTGGTTGCTGGGGGGTGGGGGAGGGGGTGGAGGGAGGGGAACACGGAGATGGGTAGAGGCACTCAAGGAAGGGCATCGGGCTCGGTGCCAGCGGATAAGAAAGGCTTTGGAGGCACGGGTAAGGTCGGGGGAGGGGGGGAGAGGGAAGGAGGGGTGGGTGAGGGGACAAAAACTGTTGACTTATCGTGCATATGTGAGTGTGTGTGAGCGTGAGTAAGCGTGTGCGTGTGTAATGTGTTTGTATGCGTAAGTAAATGTATGTGCGTACATGAGTATACATTGCGTGTGTGTGTATGATTGTGTGTGTATGAGTGTGTGTGTGTGTGTGTGTGTGTGTTGTGTGTGTGTGTGTGTGTGTGTGTGTGTGTGGTGTGTGTGTGTGTGTGTGTGTGTGTGTGCGTGAGTAAGCGTGTGCGTGCGTAATACGTTTGTATGCGTAGGTAAACGTGTGTGCGTAATGTATGTGCGTGCATAAGTCTACATTGTGTGTGTGTGTGTATGTGTGTGGGTGTGGGTGTGAGTAAGCGTGTGCGTGTGTAATGTCTTTGTATGCGTAAGTAAACGTTTGTGCGTAATGTATGGGCGTGCATAAGTATACATTGTGTGTGTGTGTGTGTGTGTGTGTGTGTGTGTGTGTGTGTGTGTGTGTGTGTGTGTGTGTGTGTGTGTGTGTACGTACCATATATCCCTCGGTTTGACGTTGGTGAATATGAGAAAAGGTTGAGCTGGAATGTAAGTGGCGCCAACTAGTTACATAGGACAGTTATAACTTACAGACTTTACAGCTAATTAGATATGAACTGACATACACACTGGATTTTCTTAGATTACCATGGAAAGAAGTGCTAAAGTGAGACACATAATTCACTCAAGAGTTAACAAATATTCGTCAGAGGAAATATTTCGGGAAGATGTCAGTCGACTGAGTCAGACTTACTTTCCTCAAAGTTACCTAACACATTTCCGAGACGTGTATGTGATTGATGCTACAGCTGTATATCCACAGTGTATTTTTACCACACATTCACAGTACAGGTTCCAATATTAGTGAATAATGCATATCCAATATTATTGGTTACCATTTAACGGCAGTGCATATATATATATACAAATATTATCCCCATGTATGTGTGAACATTCTCTCGCTGAATTCAACACAGAATAACTCTTATAACCACATGCTACACACCCACATGGCTGAAGTGTGGACATCCACATTTTCATGGTCATTCTCACACATATCATATGTGTCTCGGGGCTTTTTACGGGCGCATGATGTCATGGCCTGGTGCGCGACCCACGATGATATGACCCTACTAATCTTGCCTCCCTAGTGTGCAAGGATTTCGCTGTCTTCAAAGGACACGTTTGCGCAATTTCAATTCCAATTCATCCCGTGACGTAAGCATATATATATTGCGCATGCTAGGACGGCAGGCGTTGACGTCTTGCAGCAGAGACTTGAGCACGCCGAAAAGAAATGAAAATAAAGCAACAAGATTAACGACTTTAACCGTCACCCCCGTGGATACTCAGGGTAGTCCACGCCTCCACGCAGCCAGGTAAGGTCGGTGCCAAACTGCGTCCAAGGAGTGTGCCATCGCTCAGGTTCTGCGTGGCCCTGACCCACATCCGGCCCAGGAATATGTCCGCTTACGAGCCGTCGGTTAAAAGAGGAAAGGCGGGATGCTGGTTTGATTGAAAAGGACGGAAATTGACCGTTTTTTGTGCTGGTGGGAAGTGACGTTTGCTTATATTCTGTTTGCTGAGCGTTTATATTCTTCGTTTTTCTCAAGCTTTTTGAAACTGCCATAAGAGTAACGAACGAAGACATTTTATCGTTTGTGTTGACGTATATGTGTATGCAAATGAGACTGAGATGAGCAGCATACTCACATATCACAATATTTTTTTCTCTCATGTTATTTACTATCGTTGTTTTGGGGATCACGAGGTTAATACTAGCTGGGTATATTTCATGTAACAAAACATTTAGAAGATATTAAAACCAAATAACTTAACAGTTTAAATATCGTATGCTTTCTGCCCTATAATTACTACTCTGCTGGTAGCTGGGTATTATCATTATAGTTACTGGTATCAGTTGTGATAATATATCCCACTGTATTATCAGAATTCCATTATTGTATCAATTATGATATATCACAGTTCTTCATGCAGATTCTTTTATCAAAAACTATAAAATCATGCATTTATGAAAAGAGTTGGCCACAAAAGTAGTCGCATCTAAAAAAAAAAATGAACTTCACACATTTTTAGAAAAGAACCACCACGTCACTATTAAAAGAATGAAATCATTACCACAGTGATCGTTATTTCCTACGTTTTCTTTTCTTACAGGTTATTGACTCAAGAATGATATAGGGTCCTCCCTGTCTCCCGGCCACTGCCTGAAGGAAGGGATGTTTCCTCACAGGACAACAAAGGGAACGCCCTGTCCGACCCACGCAGCTCATAACACGTCAGCCTTCATAAGGAGCAAAACACTAAACAAGAACACATACACAGGGCGCTGAGTGTTGACGACCGTGCAAAGTCGTGATGGGCTTCTGCTACTCCAGCCACTCACTCGCCCGTACCTCACCCGCCCATACACTGGGTATCTTTTACAGCGTGGAGAGAGAGCGAGCAAAAAATTCTTGCGGTTAGGAAAACAGTGACGCTATCCGTATGGCTTGAAAGTCTTAGTCTCTCTCTCTCTCTCTCTCTCTCTCTCTCTCTCTCTCTCTCTCTCTCTCTCTCTCTCTCTCTCTCTCTCTCTCTCTCTCTCTCTCTCTCTCTCTCTCTCTCTCTTCTCTCTCTCTCTTCTCTCTCTCTCTTCTCTCTCTCTCTCTCTCTCTTCTCTCTCTCTCTCTCTGCTTCTGTTACACATTCAAGATGCATCCCCCTACTCTCAGTGGTATTTTCGGTCCGCGGGTCGGTCTATAAATGGAAGAAATGAATATATTGTGTCTTTCGGTTTTACAGGCTATTTGGCGTAATAGCCTAGAATTACTGTGCAAATGGACACGAAAATGGACGCTAATGTAAACAACGACGACAATTTTAAAATAATAATAAGCACACGACTCAAGCTACTTATTTTAAACTAAACATCCGTATGTCCCCTCCCTGCTAATATATTTTCATTTTCGAAATTTGCCCTAAATATTTCAAAATTTTCCATCTGTGAACTACACCGTTATTTTTTTTTATCGTTAATGTCTGTTCAATTAAATCATTGTACTCTTTCAGCC